CTTGTCACAGTGAGTTTATTTCATATCTACACTCCAGAATTCTCAGTCGATTAAGTGTGTTAATGTATAGGTAATTTTTTGAGATTCGTAGCTTGATTTTTGAAATAAATATCACATCTAAAAGATACAGAGCTTGTTAGAGAGATACATAAGCAGTACTGGTGCTGATTTTTTCCAGTTCATGATAAATGCCACCCTCTTTATTCTGAATACCTTCGGGGATGTTTCAAAGTTTGATACCTTCAAAATACCTCACTGATACCTTAAGATCCTCAAGTTGTTCTTCTGCCAAATGATCAGTTAGAATGATGTCAGTCAGCCAAAACTGAAAGTGTAAAGTGACTCTCAAAGAGTGTGTGTCTGTATATAAACATGGTTCTGAGCAGACATCTGAAAAGATTTTTAGATCATTCTGAAAGGGAATAGGGAATACCTTAGTTTAACTACCACACAATATGATTTAGGATCCTGCTTACATCGTGTATTGCCTGCATAGCAGAATTTCTTTATAAATTTCAGCTGTAGATTAATAATAATGTGTGTGAATTGCCTGTCAGCTTTAGTCCTGTCATTGTTCCATTACATCTTTATAACTTATTTTATATCATTTTAGATATTACAAAATTTGCATTCTGGGATTCCATGGAAATAACATCTTTCAAGAATTTTTGAGCACTTAATGCAGATTCCATAGTGTTCACATCTATAAAATGAACATTTATGGTATTGCACCAGCATGATAAGGCCTCTTGTTAATCTGAAATGCTGTTGTTCTGTTGATTAAAATGATACTATCTGTTAAAAATACCAATGGCACTTTTTTTGGTCATGGTGCCAGAAGTGCATTTGTTGTGACATTTTACTTTACTTAGTCTTCCATTAAAATTCAGGCACCCTTGGGAGAAAATATGCATTAAACCTTTATCATCTATGAACACCTCGGAAAAATTGCTTTTAAGTAGTTGTCGTATTAGAAAACAGATGGGGCTTGACACAACTAGATCATAAAAGGGAGAAGGATTGATCCCAGAAAACAAAGGAGTTGGAAGAGACTTTGTGTCTTGCAAACTCACAATGCCTCCAGGGAACCACTGGGTTCATATAAGAGTATGTAGTGGTCAACTGAAGAAAACAGGCTTATGGTGCATATACTGTTCCTCTCTAATTATGGTGAATTTTAGCCTTATTCTTTTTTAAATGAAACAGTAATTCAGGGGTTAAACAGAATAGACAAAGAAAAACATCAGAAATCATAATTTTATGGCCTCTGTTATATTACGTGGGATGCCATAGATGAAAGACTGTTTCAGACCGATCCCCCAAAAGGAATCCTATTGAGGGCAGATGAGAACACTGAGAATTTGGGAGTAGAAGGGTGCTAAAAAGAAACAGATCCATAAAGATTAAGAGCCCTTTCTTGACATTACTTATACCTGACCCCACCTTTACGAATAGGCAAATTGGATACTTCCACTCTCCTTCGTGGTTGATAAACAGGGGTGTGCATCAGAATCACCCGCGTAGCTTTGCCAAACTACATCTGAAACTATCCACACCTCACCACAAACCAAGATTTTGATTCAGCAAGTCTGCTTTGGAGTTGGTTGAGTAATTTGGGAAAAAAACAAAAACAAAAACAGAAAAAAAAACACCTCATTTTGGTTCAGCTGTACATGTGCAATTGCAGACCTGTGGAAGTACAGGTTTCCAGTTTACTCTTTGAAATATGAGAGTAACTCTGCTCTCAGAATAATTCCTTCAGGGCCAGGCGCATGGCTCACGCCTGTAATACTAGCACTTTGGGAGGCCAAGGCAGGCAATTGCCTGAGTTCAGGAGTTTGAGACCAGCCCAGGCATCATGGTGAAACCCTGTCTCTACTACAATACAAAAAATTAGCCGGGCGTTGTGGCATGCGCCTGCAGTCCCAGCTACTTGGGAAGCTGAGGCAGGAGAATTGCTTGAACCCAAAAAGTGGAGGGTTCAGTGAGGTGAGATCCTGCCAGTGCACTCCAGCCTGGGCAACAGAGGGAGACTCTGTCTCAAAA